ATCCACTGTTCTCAGTCTTTCATGTTGTCTGTATGTTTGGCAAACTTGTTAATGAAGTTAAGTCATTAGTAGGCCTACCTTTTTTTTATTTGGTGTGGAAACAAACAATATTGGTGTTGTGTCATGGTATAAACCCGAGATCATCCGAACGACTTTCCAGTGCACATACCAGACGCCAAAGCAGCCATTAAAGTGAAAGACACTATTCCATGATAATGTAGGCTAATTATCGCTCTATCTTAAAATATTTTGTTATAAGTCTCCCCCCATCCCAATTGAGTCACGATAAGTAGCTCAGCATCTTTGACGTTTCCCAAAGTAACAAACAGAACATGATTGTAGAATATTTGTGTTACACAAATAACAAACCAGTGTTTAAGAGGGAAGACGTAAGGGCCTATTTGGAACTCCATTTATTACGTAAACACAAGCGGTGTCGCACCGACGCGCTAGTGTGCAATTGTACATATAATACCAATAGGTTTCAATGATGTTTTCTTTTTCTTGTTTATTGTCTAATTTTAAGTCTAAATCTAGATTTTGTTAATAGAAAAATGGAAAAAAAAAATATGCTTACGTAAAAAAAAAAGCATAAAAAAGGATATACCATCAAAGGTTTAATTAACAATTAAGCGGGGAAAAAAAAGAAAGAATGGAATAGTATGGGACCCAAACGTCACCCTCAACGCAGTCACTACAGTACAATAAACCTGATGAAAGCAGCTCCTTACAATTACTCTAAGTGAAAACACGGTTAATGTTTTGAAAATAATATAAAGTTTGATGTGACGTTTATGATATTGTTACGCTTCTCCCTCCTTTCTGACCTTCTGTAAACACGGCTAAACACAACACCATACATCAACACATCAAGAACTTGACAACAAGGCTCCAAATAATCTGGTACTTTAATAATGAGTGAATAAGTAGATAACAGCCAATACTAGACAATTGGCGTCAAACACATCAACAACTAAAATGTCACTCTGTACATCACCAACTTAAAGAACTCTACTGTCTCTCTTTCTGGACTTGTACATCAACACATCAGGACTCAACCAGGCCCGATTTCATGGCGACTAACTGTGCTGGTCTCGACGCTCTCCGGTCTTGAACTCCCGCTTTTCTATCCACTGTGTCACTCGTACACGCAGGCTTTCGATCACATGACCATAACATTGGTCATATTTGCGTGTAATCATGTAATCGTAGTACTGTCCCTTGTCCATGGCCCCCGCTGACCTGAGTGATTCTCGTGTGTGTCAACTGAGCCTATAGTTAACCCTTTTGCGCCGCCAAAATATTTTGATATGATATTTTAAGGAAACTTTTAAAAATTTTAACCATTTATTTTACAAAATTGCCGTGTATGGTAGCCCACAATTGGTCATAAGTCATGGGACCAGGCGATATGAAACCTCTACGGGCCATGCAGCGCCTTATTTAGAGCTAAAAAGGCCTTAAGCTATATAAGTCCAGATATTGTATGTACCGTAACTAATACATATTTCTTGGAGGCCCTAAGCTAGAGCTTATGTTGCATAGAGGTAAATCCGCCCATGGCCCCATGGTTGTTTAACCATCGGGTGTGGGCCCTTAAAAGGTCGTAGGCCCGGGTTCATTGAACCCCTTCGTGCCATGGATGCTACGCCACTGGTTGAAACCCGAACCCTACTCCACCCCGCTACGTCCATGCCGCGAACCAAGCTGTAAATAATACAAATCCGGGAATCTACTTTGTGCTTAGAGCAGCCAAGCAGACTTGTGCAGAGAGAATCACATTTTGAAATAGAAACGATGCGAGTCAATGAGAATAAACAAGATGAACAAGAACATTTTTTTTTAAATGTAAAAAAAAATAAATAAAAAGTTGATAGTAAGTGTAATTGTATCAATTACTTTCGATCGTTAATGAGTAAATTTGTAATCGATCTAGACTAGCAATAATAAATATACGAAATATTTTAAACATTTGTTTTTGTTTAGCGCAGCTTCGTGCTTTTTGATTTCTCAATGGGCTTGATCTTATCACTTGTCTCAGTACGCTGTGATCCTATCACTTGTTTCAGTAGGCTATGATCCTATCACTTGTCTCAGTACGCTATGATCCTATCACTTGTCTCAGTACGCTATGATCCTATCACTTGTTTCAGTAAGCTATGATCCTATCACTTGTTTCAGTACGCTATGATCCTATCACTTGTTTCAGTACGCTATGATCCTATCACTTGTTTCAGTACGCTATGATCCTATCACTTGTTTCAGTACGCTATGATCATATCACTTGTTTCAGTACGCTATGATCCTATCACTTGTTTCAGTACGCTATGATCCTATCACTTGTTTCAGTAGGCTATGATCCTATCACTTGTTTTGGACCGATTAAAAAAAAAGGGGAGAGGGAGAAAGACTGTGATATCTGCGTGAATGTTACAATGATCGCTTTTTAAATGCAATTTATTTATTTTTTTTTTAAATTTGCACGAATTGCATTCAAACTCGAGGGCTCAAGCCTCCAGAGGTCAATGAACTAACGACTGTGCCAGCGAAATGCTTATTAATATAGAAGGTTTTATAATTATCTATTGTTAGTTTAAGTATAAAGGGTGTACTAATTCAATTTATACCACTACATCTGTCAAGTGAAAATTCTTTCCCTATTTCATTAGCAAACAAAATAATTAATTACTAATTGCTAATTAACTAATGGGTTAATTTTTAGCGGCCCCAGAAAGAGGAATAGACGCTATTAGTTCCGTTTAGATCTCGTAAACTAGAAAAGATATTGAAAATCCGAAATCATTATATTTTAGACTATTCAAATTTGTTATGCAATGGCAACTTTTTCTTTTCTGAAAGCGAAAAATTTAATTTTTAAAATCAACTATTAATAGTTACTATTAATAGTAATAAACACGGGAGGCTATTTAGTAAGGGAGTATATCTACTATATTTTAAGTGCATTTATGCTAATGGTTTTAGAATTAAAAAAAAAAATCAACAAATGTATTGCTAAACTATCTATGTTCTGCCATACTGACTACTACATTTACAAAAAAAAATTTTTACTTTTTTTTAAAGAAAAAAATCTATTTAATATGAAAATAAGTAGAACATAATTTGAAACAATAATTAATAAGTAGTTTTTCCATATTATCGCGTGAGCTGTATCCACCACAATGTATTCCACAGCCGACAAGAGAATTTTATTATTTTTTTGTTTTGAGGCTTTGAATAACAGATTGACTTTTTTACAAAACAATTAGATAATCATTATAGAACATCAGTGGGCCAGGTTCACATCTAACTTCACCTTCAATTTTACCTATCTTTTGGTCTGCTGGACCGTTGAGGCACCACACAAGATCTGTCAACCTTCTTTCTGCATTCTTCTCAGTCATTTGCCATATGTAGAATTTCATTCTGATATGAAAATATTGAAACCCGCCTTTTTACCTGCCTGGGTGGACAACTTCGGGGGCCGATTTGATTTTGTGTTTACACTCAAACTGTCTTTGTATCTTTGTTTTTATTGATTCTAGTTTTGTCAGGTGCAAGAAATAATTGTTCGAAATTTGAACTTGATCCGAGATTGTGTGCGGGAGCAATAACATGTACAAACTTTTTACCAGACAGAGTGAGTTAATATAAACTTTGTAAAAATAATGCAGCAAGTAAGACCACGAATAATGAGAATGGAAAAGTGAAATAGTTAACGCTGGCTTAGGCGTTGATATCACCACTAGCCATAAACGATAGAGGCCTAAAATAAATAGAGTTTCGTTTTAGGAGAAGTAACTGTTTGTGAGAATCAAATTGTGAAAGGAATACAAAAGTATGTGTGTGTGAGTCAATGTGTTTAGAAAGGAGCAGGGCTTTCACAAGAGATATGGAAAAAAAATATGATGTTCAAATATATACATAGTGATCGGGTGTCATGGTCAATGACACTGATAAAAAAAAATATTGCTGATCCCAAATCAAGCAATCTAGAAAGAAGAATGTTAACACCGAGTCAAATGTAGTTTAAAAGTACAAGAAGTTTGTACATATGACATAAACACCCACGTGGTAAAATAAGAAAAATGATACTGGTCAAATCTTTACATAATTACAGAAGTGAGAAATTATACATAACATACATGAATACACTTCATCATTTAGATTTAGAGAATAGTGTGCTGTTCAATCCTTTCGCTTCTGTAATGCCAAGGTGAAATAATGAATACAAGATCACTTCCTGCTGTCCCAATGAAAAGAGGATTAGACAAAGTCGAGCTTTATAAGTCATTTGGATGGCTGCCTGGTCCTGCGGTTTGCGCGCTGGACTGTCGTTTGGATTTATCGATGGTCCCGGGTTCAAACCCTGCCCGCTCCCATCCTCCGTTGTCCTGCGGGAGGTTTGGATTAGGAAGTAAACTAACTTCAACTCTGAAGGACCATCCGAAATATGTAAAATATTTTACAAACATTTGGGGCGGAAATAAGGAGCAAAGCGCTAGATGAGATGGCTGGTTAATTAGACCCAAGTCGGAAGCATTCTCAGATGTCAATACGCCAAAGAGCTGACGACAGTTTATCTATGATCTAGTAGAATATCAGCGCAAAGGTTGCAAACGTTACAAGACTAGTCGGTATCAACTTCAATCAAGTGACATTCTATCCCATAAGCCCTCCTCCTCACACTCAATGTATATTTAATCTTATCTGCGGTTATTTCACCTCGTGCTTTAGAGGCTACTGAAATGACAATGATATAAATAGACCATTGGCCAGATGGACAAACTTGGAGCCGCCCTATTGAAAGCATCAAAGGCCAATAATTTTTCCCCATCTCTCCCTTGATGGGCGTCACCTGGAGTGATCCGCACCCCCTTGGTCACTTGGGGGAGCTCTATCTCTCATTAAGTTTAGTTTATTCATATTTTCTTGTCAGGGAACTGGAACCAAGGCTGACCTAAATAACCACGGCAACCAACTCAATCCAAACAACACACGCTATCAAGCACCGAAAAAATAAATAAGGTGAGTTGTTTCTCAAATTAGAAGTATATGACCTATATAAAAAGTGTAAACTATCAACAAGTTCTTTTGTACATATATCATCATCAAATATACTTCATCAGTAGAAAGACATCTTGCAGAAAAGTGTTGTCATCATGTATCAAAAAGTAAAATTCCCATTTCAGACCTTGCGATCTATGGGGCAGATGTTGTAAAGGACATCTGTTTATATGACCCACTGTTAACGAGGTATCATGTGACCAGCACAAAGATCAACCGCTTTTACTTTTCATTAACTAATGTCAGGTACCCATTAAAGCTGGTTGGACTCAGAGGCGTCGTAAAGATCCCGAAATTATAATTCCTGTCTTCTCCAGGATTTGAACTCAAGACTTTTCACTTCTGAAGCCAATCGCTTAATCACCTCCCCTCCTTCATGTATTAACAAGTTTTTTTCTTTCTTATTTTTTTTCAGAAACCTTTGCTTGACAACAGACATCTTGACAACATGAAAATATTACAAAAAATTTTTAGCCAAGATCTCTGTAAAAATGATAAATGTTGATGTATCTTTCTAAATAAACTTTTTCTCCTTTAAACTTTTGTGTTGGCTTTATGTATCCTTCTGTCTGTAATGTAGCAGTTTAATAGAGCAGTTTAATAGAGCAGTTTAATAGAGCACATTATGTGTCTACTTCTGTCTACTCTTTTAGTCCAGAGATTACTACACAAATAACTATCAAATATGTATTATAACAACTTCCCCACTCCATCCTTCTGAAAGAAAAAAATCACTATCGTCTAAGTCACTGTCCATTACAATTGCAAAAGGGCTTTTTACACACAACAACAACGTATGGAGGATCACAACAAGGCAGCTTCATGCTTTATTTTCAGAATGGTCAACAGTAGACTTAAATGTTTACCAAAGTTTAATGTATTTGATACTGTTCTTCAATAGCGTTGTATCATTCAATTCAAGAAATACAGTTTATAAGTATTACAAGTCTCTAGTTTCAATACAGTCCATCTTGTCCTCTGTTGTCTGCCTTGTACGTTCTGACATCGCCACACGTTCAAGACTGTCATGGGACAAAGAAAATAGCAACATTCCCATCAGCTACAACATATACTATTATATACCGACTTTATATACAGATGGCTACCAATAAGTCTACATCTCACTAGCCTTTACCTTAGACCAGTGATTCCCTAAGTGGTCTATATAGTCTACGAAGACTTTCAAGGGGTCTACAAAAGTGAAAAAATTAATTAGGGGTCTATGAGATGACCACGGGGGTCTATGATAGTGGGTTTCATTTAAGCAGGTAATGACTTTAATTTTCACACCCCGTTAAAGTAACTATTTCATTCAATTATAACTAGATGAATAAATAATAATGATAACAATAACGATGATAATAATCTTTATTATCCGTAAGGATTTACCAAGCAAATAAAGGTTTAAATAGCTAAATTTTGTCTACATGTAACTAATGTTTAACAAAAAGAAATCTAGATTTTACAGCGTTGATTATTTATTCCCTTGTCAAATAAGCGGTTGTCTAAGTGTCTTCTTATGACCATATGAAACCAATTACAATGGAGGATTATTTGAGACGATGCCACACTGATAAAAATATAATATAAGAGTTAAAAAAAAGAGAAAGTTCAGAAGAGACCCGCAAAATCTATCTTCAACATCATAAAGAGAAGATGGTGGTTTGTGAGCGTCTTTCAAGATCTCTTCACTTATAGCCAAATACGGAGAGCACTATAAATAAAACATTGATTTTACCAGCAATTAAAATAGTTTTAAAAACTGTTTCACAATAATCTACATCTGATATTATGAAATGAATTTATTTAAGTAACACTACAGTTCAAGGGCACATCGGTGGGATGAGTTATAGCATTAAAGCTTAGGTTCCATATTTTCCCCCAGGGCTGACCTACGAAACCTTTCCCATGCATGGGTATAGCTGCAAGGCAGCAGAAGTTTGAATTCTGTTTTCCTTCTGCTAGATGGGCTGCAAGCCAAGGCTAATGAGTCCCTCCTGCCCAAAGCTTACTGGTTAAGCCACCAGTTACTCACCTTTGCCCCTTCTGTTGATGAAACCAGTTCCATGAACCCAAATATTTGAGCCACGCATGAAAGATCACGAAATACAAGAAAAACTGCTCTTTGCAACAAACTTTGACAATGATATTTAAGGCAAATTAATTCCAGCAATACATAGATATTTTCATTGGTTTAAATTTGAATTTTTATCAATAAAAAAGATAGATCTCTCTAACTTGCAGTGTAGCTTTAAATTAGCCTACTTTTTTAACTCTTCGACTCAAAACAGTTAGAAATTAGTTTAAAAAATGGAGTTTATGAATTTGCAAAAATATAAGTTAAGCAGGGGGTCTACCGAAAACCAGAAAACATGGCAAGGGGTCTACGAGACAGAAAAGTTTGTGAACCACTGCCTTAGACCAATACTCACTGATGGAAAATGGCTGCGGGTATCAATTCTAAAAAGCTGCTTATTTACATAGGCATTACACTTTTTTTTTTCATTTATTGTTTTACCATTATTTGGTCGGTTGGAAAACCGGGGCGACGAAATTCTTGAGTTGTAATCTCACCTAAAGGCTCGAAAGAGGATCTTCGGGATTATTAGCACAAAACAAACGCGTTAGGTAGGTATAGCAAACGCTGTAATTAAGTACTTTGAAAAATATCAATGTCTATAAAAAATGTGTCTATGACAGGTGCAAGTTTGTGGTTAATTTGAAAAAAAAATGATCACAAGCTAATTGCTAACCATTGTAGTGTTCTTTGGGGATACACATTTGAGACCAAAAGGAAATCCGCTGCCGAGGACAGACGCAGACGGTGAAAAGAAAATCTTAACCGACCACCGGCGGACATTGGTTAGGCTTGCCCTGGATGTGGCAAAATATGTAGGTCACAGCTGAGACTGAGTAGCCACGGGAAATACTGCAGTCCTCATTAATCTTCGGACTCGAAGACAAGCCTTATTATTATTATTTTTTTTTATTATTATTATTATTATTATTATGTTAGAAAAGAGCGAGTATTCATTCTCTGGCGCAGCCAGGGTCGAGTTTCGTTAAAGGGAAACAAAATTCATTGTAGTCCCTTTATCAGTTTCCACCGAGGAATTTTCTGGTGATGTGGCTGGTCTGCAGAAGTACCGCACTCTGACAGGCAACGAGAATGTTCCTAGGAATGCCAAGGGCCTTGAAGGTATCTGTGAGGTCAGTTGTTATTATCCCCTCGGTTGATACAAGAATAGGGTAGATTGTTGTTTTAGATCATTTCCATAAACACTTAAGCTCCAAACCAAGGTTCCCATATTTTCGTTGTTTTTTCAGCTCAGTTTTTTTTTAAATTATAAGATAGTGGTACGGCGATGTCAATAATGGTGGCGGCTTTTTCTTTTTTATCGATGAGCTGCAAATCAGGGCGATTAAAATCTACCGTTTTATCAGTCAATAAGGGCCTATCCCAGTACAATAGATGATCCGTAGACTCGAGAACTTCTTGTGGTGAGTATTTGTAATACGGAGGAGTACCCTTACCGAACAAATTAAAATAATAATAATTATTATTATTATAATTGTAGTGTTCAGAAAGAAACATGTGTGAAGACATGTCTTGAAAAACTTTGCAAAGTAATGGAATTAGCGATTATATCAAATCCATTGCAGCTAAAGCTCACTAGCATTGCTAAATTCAAACATTTCTAAATGAGGTACAGTAAGTCTTCTTGTTGGTTATCGAGTGCAGTCAGTTAAAACATTTCGCTCTCTAAAATAAATACATTTCTTATTGTAAAAAAGCTCACTATGCAGAGCTAACGAAAGCTCTGTGGGTCCAGAAATGTTATTTTGTGTTGTCGGGTAAACACATTATCAAAAAATCCAACAAAGCATTAGGGTTTATTAAAAGAAATTTCTATAAATCAAATAAGAACATAATACAGTTTGAACGAGCAAGAAGTAAAGGAAATATCACTCTCTTATTTCTGTGGATAGTCACCCCACGAAAAAAAAGAGGGGGGAAGAACAAGTGGGTATTCACACGTCGCTGCATTTGGGTTATCTAAGTGATGGAGATCATGGCGCTGCATGTCGGATTGGAAAGCAGGAGCCATCTTTCAAAAAGTATGGTCTCTATCTGAACAAACACATCAATAACACTGGAAATTAAAATCCACCTACTCAATACAATCACTATCCCAACGGCCACTTAACTTCTAGACGTGGAAGGTTGAAAAGCGGCTGAGCAGTGGTGGCTGAGAAGGATCCTACGAATAACATACCGAAATACCGGAATCACTCTGAAAAATAGCAAGAGAATAATGAATCTCACAACATTTGTCCAGATTCAGCGACATTTGTGAGACATATCATTAGACAAGACGAAACACGTTTTAAAAAAGTCAGCCTTTACATGGAAGCCGAAAAGAAGAACGCAAAAACATGGCCGTCCACGTCTAACATGGCGTCACATCTTTTTAGAAGTGCTGAATTTCGTGGGCACCAGCTGAGAAGTGGCTGTGAAAGTCGCCTTTGACTGATTTCTGTCGAGGGTGTTTGCAGCACTATGCGTCGAATGGCGTGGGGGGGGGGGGGGGCTTAAGTCTTTGTGTTTTCTAAATTTCTGAGCTATAGAAACTTTCTCCTGGCGTCTACAACGTATTATTTTTCTCATAATAAGATTACAAGTCAAATAGAAATAAGAAAGATTGGATCGTTGATAATAAACTGTGAGAGACATTCGATGTATCAATTTTATTTTCAAAAGTTGCATTTTGGAAAAGTGCATTTTTCCGACTTGGGTGTCACCCCCTGTTGGATGTCACCCGGTGCGGCCCGCACCCCCCCCCCGCAACTGCCTAGTGACGCCACTGGTCCCGGGTTCGAATCCTGGTGAAGATTGAGATTTTTAATTTTGGTATCTTTGGGCGCCTGAGTCCACCCAGTTCTAATGGGTACCTGACATTAATTGGGGAAAAGTAAAGGTGGTTGGTCGTTGTGAAACCCTCGTTAACAGTGGGCCTCAGAAATAGATGACCTTTAAGTCATCTGTCCCATACATCGCACGGTCTGAAAGGGGTACTTTACTTTTTTTTTACTTTTTATAACTAAACCTGCCAGAGGCTGATATAGTTTCTTTATTCAAAGATTGATTATACGTTCGCTATTTTTCTGAATTATCAGCATTATACAATTATTTTAACAAAGTGTAACATTTGATGCTGAACATCAAACATTTGTTTAGCTAATAGTTGAGTTGTGACAAGTTCTACTACATTCAAAGATAACCAAGAAAGATATAGGCCCTATGGCTATCTAAATAAAAACCATGAGATAAAGTCATTACATCTTGGTAAGGGACTTCTGAGATACAAACAGCTAATGTCAAAAAAATTAGATGAATGCTGATAAGTCGGCCATCTTTCTAATCAGAATACAACT